TTAACTATTCACATTTAATAGCTGATGAAAGTATTCTTTCCATGTTTTAAGCTTTTGATCTTTATCTGTATAGTTTCACTGAACATTGCATATCTGACAATATAGATGTTCTCTTCTTTTATAAGAATCTCACTTTCTGAGAAAACTCCCTGACATCAACTTTTTTAAAATGATGTTCAAGGTCTTCATTTTCTCTCTGGGTATGTCTACACTACAGTGTTAATTCGAGTTCTCTTAATTTGAAATAGTTAATTCGAATTAAGCTAATTCAAATTAACACATCTATATACAAATTGCAGCTCGAATTATCATTTTGCTAATTTGAAATACTGCATTCACACTGACTGGACACAGAATCGGATTTAAGGCCAGCCAGAATCAGGTCAGGCAGGGCATCAGGTCAGGAGTGTTTGTGTGTGGCTGCTGCTTGATGCTATCTGATGCCAGTGCTTAAAGGGACACCTCCCCCTGTCCCCCGAGCAGCCGGTTCTCAGGTGTCCCTGCTTGCTTGCCTGCCTCGATGAGGGACAGAAAAGCGTTTGTGTCTCTGTGTGCTCTGGTTACCCTCACTCAGGACACCACACCACTCTGCAAAATGGAGCCGAAGCTGCCCCTGGGCACTGTGGTGCTTCTCGTGGACGTGTTGCTGCGAGCCTGGCTGCACTTTCTGCAGGCTGCCATCCCGGAGGTCCACTGGGGGGCTGTCAGTATCCAGGAGGTCCTGCAGGAGAGTTTCCACCCTGAGGAGCACTAAGAGCCTCCCTGGTGTGCCCCACTGGGGGCTTGTGCCTCATTCCTCCCTCCTTCCACTTACCCCTCCCTAACCCCCCTTCTTGATGTCAAATAAAAACACATTTCTTGCCAAAAACAAACTGTTTTTATTGACCGAAACTGGGGTGGGAATGAGGGTGGGAGAGGGGAGGGGGAAACCTGGGAGGAGGGAGCTGGAAGGGGGAGGCAAGGGGAGAAAGGGGGAGGAGAAGCTCAGGGTTGGGGGTCTCACCGGCCCAACTTGATTTTCATGCAAAACTACTGCATTTGCATGTGGCCGTTGCTGGCCAGCCATAGATGGCTGCGTTCCTCTGTCTAGTGCGGAGATCATGGACACTGGGGGCATCCCCGCAAACCTGAGTATGGTCCAGCCTGATCTCCGCCCTGGACCAGGAAGGTGCTCGCCTTCTCCGGGCCCTGGCAGGCTCCTGGGAGCCATCAGGCTGCTCCTGGGGCACAGTGGATGGCTGGCTGCCAATGGCTTGCTGGCTCATGTTTTGGGGCCACTGGGTTGGGGCAGTGACTGCTGGCTCTGGTCCGGCAGGCTTGGAGCGGGCACAGGCACTGTGGCCAGAGTCTGCCCCTATAAGGGATCCAGGACTGGGGGGGAAGGAGAAGAGTTTTCCTGGTTTGGCCCAGAGTAGCCACCAGGGGAATCTGGGAAGGCTGGAGGCTGGCTAATTCGGACTAAGCATCTACACAGTGCTTATTTTGAATTAGCTAATTGGAGTTTGGCATTACTCCTCGTAGAATGGTTTACCAAACTCGAATTAAGCATCCTGCTTGTGTAGACGCTATGGAAGTTAATTTGGAATAATGGCTGTTATTCCAAATTAACTTTGCAGTGAAGACATACCCTCCCAAACTACTTTTTCTTAGCCTTTTAACAGCTGGGGTGCTCTGCCCCGGACTTCCTGGAGTCAGCCGCTGGTCAGTTTCAGCAGCGGCCGGATCTGGGACAGCTGGGGTGCTGCTGCAGCGCCGAGGGGTGGCGCTATGGGACTAACCCGGCAGCACCCCAGATGCTCTGCCCCAGGCATCCCCGATTCAGTCGCTGCTGAAATTGACCAGCGGCTGACTCAGGGAAGGCGGGAGCAGAGCAGCTCCAATTGTCCAGCTGCCCGGAGCACTTCTGGGTTCCAAATGGTGCTGGATCATCAGGAGTGCCGGACCATTGGAGTTTTACTGTATATTGCAAATGTTTTTTCTCACTACTCTGGTGCAGTAAATTCCTCACCTGTTGTCTCTCATAGGAGAACCCTGATCTAATGACAAGGGAGTTGAACATAGCCCAGGATAATAACCTGTGCAGTGGAGAAGGATAATAGTATAACACACTTTGAAGCATAGATAATGCTGTACAAATAAATAAATAATCAGTCCTTTTTATGACTTTTTCAAATTTGTGGGTAGCTGGATTCAGTTTAAAGTCACCATTAGAAATTTGATTTTATGATAATTGTCATTATCTGGCTGTATTATCTTTTAATGGGCTCTCTTGTGATATAATGTAAAGTTAACAAATTAGCAAATTCATTTAGCTTATTCCAGATGTTTTCTTCATTATTCCAGGCATGTTACTTCCAAAGCAAAAAGTTGCAATGATGAAGATTTTGCTATGTCTAGGAAGACTAAATGTGCAGTTCAAGAAAAGAAAAGAAAAGAAAAGAAAAGAAAAGAAAAGAAAAGAAAAGAGCACATCTTTAGCTGGGCTAGAGGGAAGCAGTTTTGAATTCTGTTTATTCTAGACAGAACAGGATACACATCAATAGTGACACAACAAAAAGCCCATGACACTCTTGAGAAACAAGATACAGAAAATTCTCATGACACTTTTTCATTGTGAATGGACCCACTTCTTCCTGACATCCACAGGTATCAAGAAAATGTACTTGGTTAGTGGTCCTTGTTTTTGTATAGATACCGCTATCTGTTTTAATCGCTGCAAGCTAGACAGAAGTAATGCTAATAAGCACCCTGTAAGAAGCTCACAGAGTCTGATTTTAGAACAAAGTTGCAGTTTTTCTGGATCTCTGTGAGGGAGTGGAAGTGACCATGTATGTTGAATGATGGAAGAATAGATTATAGAGGGGAGCTCAAACTTTGAGAATGAATTTGAAAGCCTGGGGCTCATCTGACAAAAAAAAATCACAAATCTCATATGGGGTTCTCATGTTGTGATACATTTCCCATGTCCTCTTTAAAACCAAATTAGGCCAAAAGCAGCCATAGTACTTTGACGAACTCTCATTAGAATCCACATCTGAATCCAGAATCACAGACTACACTGATCCCTCGATACAGCAGCTACAGTACTTCTGTAACAATGTCTTCACTTGCTTGTAGAACAAACATTTTTTTCAAGTCATGTTGAGATGCATTGGGATGGCCAGACCTATTTTTAAGTTAAAAAAAACCAACAAATAGTCTGGTAGCATTTTAAAGACTAACAAAATATGCAGATGGTATCATGAGCTTTTGTGGGCACAGCCCATTTCTTCAGTTGACCAGAGGACATCCAACATTCTGGTCATCTGAAGAAGTGGACTGTGCCCACGAAAGCTCAGGATACTACATGTTTCGTTAGTCTTTAAAGTGCTACCAGACTATTTGTTGTTGTTTAAGTTTATCTTGTACAGACTAACTCGGCTACCCGCTGAAGCTTCTATTTTTAAGTGTTCCTCTCCATGGCTTGCTTATTCTGAAATTTCCTGCTTGAATCTATCTACCCTTTTCCTGAAAGCCAGCAGTTAGAAACACTGTTTACTGTGCAGTGCTGAATTTTCAGTTTGACCTCTTATAGTGAAACCAGCAGTTTTATCATTTCATTTCATTCAAGAATACAGAAGTCATCATTTTACAAAGCTGGCAGCTTTTCTGCTTCAGAGCTCCTGTAATTTAGTTGGGTGCTCTAATAGGGTTATGTTTCATATATGCTGCATATACCCTTTATGCTTGTGTTACTCCTCAGAGAACTTATAAATGAAAATTAAGTAGTTTATTGTAGAAGGAATGGTGATTGCATTGACCATTAACCTCAATAACATGCATAGACAACAGAGGGGCTTATAAAATGCTCAATGTAGCAGTGAGGTTTGAAGCAGTACAAGATGTTTGTTCAAGTTGAGGCATTTCTATAGGCAAAAAAACTCCCCAAATACTTAGTCTCATGACTGCTGCCATCATTTCCAGCTCTGATTTTTGTTCCACTACCTATGATCTGTGTATGTTATAATTCAGCCTGCTTATTTTCTTACAGCAGTTTGTTCTTTTATTTTCTTTGTTTAAACAGAAAACAACTGTATTAAGAGGAGGGGAGTGGGAGGAATGAGGCACAATACTTATTGTACTATAATTAACTTTAAAATGAATTTTATAGCTATGATTATTGAACTTATTATAACTTTCATAATAAAAGTAGCATTGGGAAATATGTTCAATAACTAAAAACAATTATCTAAAACTTAAACCTATTTTTATATTCATTCTTCATGACGTCCTATAGTTAAGATTTTAATTTATTTAAGCCTTTTAAAATGCCATGGAATTTAGTCATTCCAAACAATGACAGAGATAATGCTTCTGTAAGCAACTTGCAAGGCTTTGGCTAAAGGCAAGTATCTGTTTATATTTTCTTCAATACAAACATATCCATATACTGAAAGCTTCTGAAAAAATATCAGCTTAGAGCCCAGTGCTATAACCCTTGCTGTAAGTAGTATTCCCATGACTTGAAGAATCAGAACTTCTATATATATTACATCCACAAGCATTACAGTAAAAATATTAAGGATGCAAAATGGAAAAAAACCCTAGAATATGACTGTGTAATTAAAGATTGTATCATAATATATATGTACAGAGTGGCCAAGTTAAAGTTGCATAGGAAATGTTGCATTTTCTAATTTCTGAGTTCTTAACTTGGCAAGATTAAAATTTTAACATTTTTATATATCATAACCTATTAAAAAAAACACCTTAAACTTAATGAAAAAAAATCCATTATGTGGAACTACAACAAACTCACTTCCCCTTCAAATACAAACACAGGAGTTATCACAAGTTTGGAGAACTTCAGAGCCACACATCACAGTTTTCTAGCACTTGAGCTTCTAATGTAATTGGTAGCAGCATATTACATAGCCTAAGCACTTCTGTACCAAGGGGTCACATAGCAACATCAGAGAACTGCATGAGTTCCACATACTTTTGAAAATTCCAATTCCAGTTTACAGTTGAAGGCTGTGCATGTACCATAGTTGCAGAACAAAAACACTCATTGCCATAATGTTACATTCTGATGCACGCTGGAACAGCAATTCAAAAACACATGAACACAAAAATGAAGCGAGACATACAGGTAGGTTATGAATCAAGACATAATAACAGTGAAACAGGAAGCTCAACTAAGGTCTCAACTAGGGCTGTTGATTAACTCACGTAATTAACTCAAAAAATTATTTGGGATTAAAAACTGAATTGTGATTAATCACACTATTAAACAATAGACTACCAACTGAAATGTATTACAAATTTGTGAATGCTTTCCTACATTTTCAACATTGATTTCAATTGCAACAGAGAATACAAAGTGTATAGTGCTCACTAATATTATTATTTTTATTATAAATATGTGAACTGTAAAAATGGTAAACAAAATAGTATTTTTCAATTCACCTCACACAAGTACTGAAGTGCAATTTCTCTTCTATGAAAAAATAACTTACAAATGTAGATTTTTTTTGTTACATAACTATACTCAAACAAAGCAATGTAAAAATTTAGAGTCTACACGTCTACTCAGTCATATTTCTTGTTCTGCCAATCGCTAAGGCAAACAAGTTTATTTAAATTCACAGGAGATACTTCTGCCTTCTTTTTGTTTACAATGTTACCAGAAAGAGGGTACAGATATTCACATGGTACTTTTGTAGCTCGCATTGTGAGGTATTTATTGGCAGACATGCTAAATATTTGTATGCCTCTTCATGCTTTGGTCACCATTGCAGAGGACAAGCTTTCATGCTGATAATGTTTTTTTCTTTTTAAATAACACAATAATTAGATTTGTGACTACTTGAGGGCAAATTGTATGTCTCCAGCTCTATTTTAGCCACATTCTGCCATATATTTCATGCTCTAGCAGTCTCAGCTGATGTCCCAGCACATGTAGTGAATATGTAATAACACTTTCACAGCAGATTTGGCCAAGCGTAAAGAAGATACCAATGTGAGATTTTTAAAAGATAGCTATCGCACTTGACCAAGGTTTAAGAATCTTAAATGCTGTCCAGTGTTTCCCCCTATTTTTTTCCACCCCTGGGGGGAATGAATTTTCTTGTGTGTGTAAACGTGTAGGTAATGTGCAATGCAGAGGTGAGGTGTGTCGCCTCACCTTCATATTGGTGCACATAACAAAATTCATGTGGCGGGAGTGGGTCAAAAAGGTTCTGAGTATGGGAGGGGGCTCAGGGCTGGGGCAGGGGGTTGGGTTGCAAGACTGTGAGGACTCCCGCTGGGGTGCACTGGGTGGGGTAGGATTAAGGGGCTCAGGACTGGGACGGAGTGGCTCTGACTGGCGGTGCAGACTCTGGAGTTGGGTTGGGGATGAGAAAATTGGGGTGCAGAAGAAAGGCTCCAGGTTTGGGGAGGAGCTCAGGGCTAGAGATTAAGGGTTCAGGATGGAGTACAGGCTCTGGGCTAGAAATGTGGGTTTTGACGTGAGGCTGGGGATGAGGGCTTTGGGGTGAAGGAGGGTGCTCGGGTGGGGCGGCTTAAGGTGGAAGAGAGGCTCGGAGCTTGTGCTTACCTGAACAGCTCCCTGCCTGGGACAGCAGGGAGGGACCCCTCTCTCCCAGCAATAACAGCTCCTCCCCATCAGCCCTATAGGCGTTAGGGCTTGGAGAAGATATCTCTTCTTAATGCAACCCTGAACCCCTGCACATGAGCTACGAGAATAATAGTTTTTAGTCCATGTTCTGTGGAGCAATGTGGTCTGCTGAATGCCTACCTTTCTCCTCTGTCTCCCTAAGCCTCTCCCATAGTAACCTTCCACTCTCTTTCCCACCCGCCATACCTCCTGCCATTGCTCCACCTTGCTTCTGTCCCCCAGCTCCTGTCCATTCCATTCCAGAAAATCCGATCCTATCTCTTCTCCTCTTTCTTTCTGCTTGGACACCAACATTGTGTCCTTCTTTGGCACTTTCATGATAAGTGATCTGGTGCTTCAGACCATCACAGAGAGGTCCAGATGGGCCGTAGAATTATTGGATGTACAGTTAAACACCAGTGCACTGTTTAAAGTAATCTAAATCTGAAGAGAATGGGAATGGAGCCTTGGTTGCAAAGGAATGTGCCTGTTGTCTTTTAGGTCCAATGGGAATCAGGTTCACTATTTGTACCTGAGGTTAACAGTTCACTGCAGTAGTGAAAAGAGCATTGGCCTACTACCATCTCAATTTTTGGATTTGCAGGCATTCTGTAGTATATTGGGCCCACAAGAAGCCAGACAGCTTGAGCGATGGACTGCTGCTGGATTTCTAGGCCAAAGCAATATGCCTTCAGTGGTTCATCAAGAGAGGCATGCTGTGAGACCAGCTCTTCTATGGCAGATGGACCATGAGCTGGTCCCAGCACTCATTGGTGCATTGATTAAGCAATTGTGGATGGATGTCAGCAGGTGTATTGCAACTGGGTTTCAAGGCTGATGACATTTACCTTTAATGGTATGCAAATCAGAACATGAGCTGGTCCCAGCACCTATTGATATGCCTTGTAAATGCTGCTTATGCAATTAAAAGGTGATGCCAGTCCAGACAGCAGGTAGATCGCAGCTGAGATTCCAGGCTGAGGCCATTTGCTTTCAGTGGCATGCCAGATGGGGGTATGGATCTGACACTCATTTATGGATGAGCTACAGTCATCTGATAGCTTGATTATTCACCTTGGCAAAGATGACCTTATGGGAACTGCACTGGATTAAATTTATGGATTAGGTTACAGAGAGATGGGGAATTAATTACACACTATGGCCTTGTCCTCAACTGGGCTAGTCAGAACTGCTCACAAGATGAGTTTGTTAGGAGGCCATCAAGCCAACCCTTGAAGGTAGGACAAGAATGGTGTGAATTATGACCACTAAGGAAAGATTGAAAAAAATAGTTTGTATTCTGAAGACAAGAAGACTGAGGGGTACATGATAACAGTCTTTAAGTATATCAAAGGTTGTTATAAATAACACTGAGTACAGGACAAGAAGTAATAGCATTAAATTGTAACATGGGGAGTTAAGCACTGGAACAAATTGCCTAGGGAGGTTTAGAATCTCTGTTATTGGACATTTTTAAGAGCAGGTTAGACAAACACCTGTCAGGGACAGGAACTGAATTAGATGACCTACTAAGATCCCTTCCAGTTCTACATTTCTAAGATTCTATGATGTAGCTGAGATAACTGGGAGTTGAATGTGGGAGGCAGAGATAACACATAGCACATATAATTACCTCTTTAAGGAAGACTGAGGATGGGGTTAATTTTCAGATGCTGGAGCTGATATTTAACTCAGTGACATTAAGGACTGGGTCAGACAGGAGATGAATAGCAAGCACAGTAGGTGTAAGGTGTCTCCATGTTAATGACTGCTGCACCCCATGGCAGGAGTTCAGTGTAGCTAAACTCTAAAAAGACCAACTGCCAGAGGGAAATGAGACCTGAAATTTTGCATTCAAACCTTGGGGGATGAGCTTCAAGTCTTTGTGGACTGAGGTTTACCTCATACAGCCTTATAGCCATAAAAGGGGTAAAATGAACTGAGACTGTTGGGTAAATTGGGAAGGTCTGCCTCAAGTTATGGTTTAGTTCTTGATTAAAGCCTGGGAAACTGTGCTGTAGCCAATTAAATGCCATCCTTTCCCCAAGGTATAATTAATTATGTTGCAGCCTAACATTTAAACCCATCCCACATGTCTGTCAGTTTTAACATGGGCAAAAAATACATATTTTCCCTAACCTCATTTTCAGAAATAAGTGAACCATTTTTAGTGAAACAGTCTGCCATGGGCTGGCTGCAGGGCAAGCATGTGGTGGCAGGAGAGATGGACTGTTTTCTGGTGTGGCTGGCAGACTGATGGCAGGAAAAGCCAATTGTTTCCTCCTGAGTCTTTTCTGCAGGCTGAGGGTAAAGTTAGGCCAATTCTTGGGCCTGTCATGCTATCCTCCTGTCCCTTGGTGTCTCTGCTACCTGGAGGCAAATTCCAGCTAGACATAGCCTTCCTCTGTTTTCCCAGGCAATAGAGGTTCTGGGTAGGGTCAGAAACTGCTTGCAGCACTACTTGGCTGCTTTTCTGCAATCTTATCTGCCCTTAGTGACTGCTCTTGTCTCCTCTCCTCCCATTAGTTGAGGGAGGAAGGTTGTGAGGTGAGTGAGGGGTTGAATCCCTACCCTGTCCCTCCTGCTGCCATGGAAGGAGAAAGTCAACACAATGCAAGATTCTCTTGTGGACCCAGAGAGGATTCAGAAGATATGTCTCTTCTCTTGGGGCAACCCCTTTGCTACAGTGTGCGTGTATGGGGGGTGGGGGAGGGATGGAAGGGCAGGGAGAACTGTCAGATTCCTGGGCAAGGAGGTGGTGTCTGGCTCTGGGGCCCTGGAAGAGCTGGGGCCTCAGGCGGAAGGGATGGGGCTGGGGCTAGCCTCCCTCAGACAGCCCTTCATCACTGCCCAGCCCATGCTGCCTCGGGCTCTGTCAGCAAGTTAAAGAGCCTGAGACTCTGGCTACTGCTGCGGCAAAGGCAGCGGACAGCCTCAGGGCCTTTTACGTCGCCAGTCCCTGAGAAAACTGCCCCTTTTGCCTTCCATCAGTGGCCCTGTTGGGGAAAAAAGGGGGAGGGAGCTACATGCAGAAATGTTACTTCTAAATGGACAGACTGAATTAAATGTGAGTGCTTGCATGGGTAAGAATTTCTTATATGAGTAATGTGTGCAAAATTTTAGCCAGAAAGCTTTGTATGTGATCCTTGGGATATAATTTTTATGTCTGATTTTATATATTCATTGTACAAGCAACATTTAAATGCATACGTATCTAAAATACGGGAATATTAAAAATGCATGTTTCTTGGAATTAATTAAGAGATCTCATGCTTTAGAGACAAGATTTAAAGTACAGCCAAGGTATTAATCAAAAAATAATATCTTTTTTTTTTTTTTAATTCTTGCAGCTTCAAGGCCAGAGGGGAAAAAAGATTGGTGAGAACAGTGAAGGAAATGGACTAAGAGTCAAGCCTGAGGTTAAAGCGTAAATTAAACTTGGGTTGGGCACACATAATTTATGATGGTTGTTTTGGAGTGTAATTTCCAAATCTGGATAGTAGCATACAATTAACTTGCATCACTGGGTTTTGCATCAAACTATCCCATTTTACCCTGTTATTTATTAACTGCAGAGACTCCTGGTGTCAGATAAGATGCTAATCTGTATACCCCTAAGTGCGTGGGGGAGGTGGGACTATGAAGCAATATTGTCATTTGTCTTTTGAAATATAGTGTTTTGTATCAGGAGCACACTTTCAAATCTGATCCAAAAGTGATAGCTCCTGAAGTCTGAAGACAAGCACAGCCCTCAGATTAATAGATGGCAAATATGGTGAAACCTACATAAGAAATCACATTTATTAAACAGCTTTCTTGCCTTGAAGACAAGCCCAACTTTCCTCAGGCAAATTAGTCCCAAGTCTGAAATGCTGCCAGATTTGATTCAGTTCAGCCCAACACTGGAATGGACTTTGGTGCTTACACGCGACCTTCGTGTCTCCTGGATTTAGAGGTATCAAGGGGTGGTTTGATCTCTCATGTAAACTAGCGGAGCTGCAGATACTGTTCACGCTAATGTTTCAACTGCTTACAAGAGACCAGCACCCGGATTCCTGGCATGCCAAGAACTTGACTCTGTTGCCAACATTTTCTGCAGCAGCAGCTGTGGAATTGTAAAATAAATGGGATTGTGTTCACTGACTTGCACTGTGGAAACTGGCATAAATATCACGAGATTAACTGATATCAGAAGATTTTGGCCATGTAGAAGTGAAATGCAGCTAAATCGGCATCTAGATTTTCAGCCCTGTGCAACCCAGCCTCCGCTTTGATCACTATCCAAACTCTAAACTTTGACTGAACTCATCACCCTGGGAGCTTTGTGTCAGAACTTTAGACTAAATCTAATTTGATTCCAGAATGTTCCATTGTGCATGAGGAGCAAAGTTGTCAGCTATGATCTTCCTCCTTATGCAGTTCTTATGCATTCATTACATTAACGTTAGTGGGACTAACCTCAATAGTGAATGACTATCTGGTCCTATTTGTTTTATCCTTTCAAATGTTTTTAAGTAGCTCAGCTGGCAAAAAGAACTCTAGCTTAAATATTTAGACTTACTTTTATGCAAATGTTTGCACAATTACAAAATATCTTTATACTCCAGCTAATGACAATAATTTCATAGCAGACAATTTACCAGAATTATATTACTACAAATTTATGGCCTTCCTTTGTTCTTAAAATGCTTTTTTTTATAAAATATGTAGGTCATATGGAGGCCAGGAGACATTTGCTATGTTATGAATAGCAAATCCAAATTAATATTAAACAAAAAATGTCTTCAACAGCATAAAATATAACTATTTTAATACATTTATCTGAGAATGAGCCTGTGCAAATGAGACATTCTTCATATAATCATATACATAGCAAATTATCTTAGAACTATTAGTGTAGTCTTTAGGAATTCTCAAGTGTATATTTAACAATCGAGATGCATTGTGTGTTGGCACTCACACAACTGTTGCCTCTAAAAGCAACAAATGTGAATCAGCATCATAATGAATCCTTAGAGAACGCTTGCTTCTACTATGATATATCTTTTTTTCTCTGAAAACTTAGAAATTGTACCATTCTTGGTAATTGGGTGTAAAGTGTTCTAAGATGAGATCTAATTTGCATACATACAGTTGAAAAAATCCTGCATCACTACACTACTCCAATTAGCAAAATGCAAAATCAGATGTTTTCAATAATTACATGCATGATTACAGAATACATGCATTTGGAAATGCTCCCCAGAATGTATTCACTTTCTACAAATGTCACATTTGCATTTTGCTTGTTCATATTTTTTACAGTGCAATAGATTACAATTTCAATAGTAATTGATTCCTTCAGTTAGCACATGGAGAAACTTTACACAAACTGTGGAGCTATCGTACTTAGGACTAGAAGTTGCTTAGGGCAGGACTGTGGTTCTTAGCCACTGTAAGAAGAAAAGGCTGGTGCAGAGTCATGCCATTTCTTGGGATCATTCATCAAGAAGATACAATTTCTACTGAGCTGGAGGAGTACAGCCTAAGGTGCAGGCGTCTTCTCTCAGCATAGGTGGAGAGCTCTACAGACCAATGTGCATGGAGAAAGAGAGGTTGTAGATCAAAGTATTGCCCCTTTTTTCTTGCTCTTACCTGTTCCTTTCCCTTTCATTTGAAAAAATGCTATACATTTTGATAAAAAAGTTGCTAAGGATTATTCTCAAAATTATGAACAGGAGAGACTTTATTCATTGTCAGGTAAATTGGCTGTAAACATCAGTTAAAGCTAGAGATGAATCTAGGTCCATTTACACCAGATAAGTATCTAGCTCAGAGTTTTAAAACAGTTTGGTGACTATACCATGATAAGGACAAACCACTATTACTTCCATGAGGGAACACTGTGCATATAATGTACTAGCATTATTTGAGTCTGCCCATGAAGAAAGGAGAATTCATTGGTATTAGTTTGAACTTCCAAAAAATATTTGATAATATCATTTGCAGGATACTGTGCTCACACAGGAAGGTATGCCTGATAAAAATTTATAATCTAAGAAGGCAAGCAGTATACCAAGAAGCTTCAGGGGGTAGCCAATCATCTGAAGAAGTGGGCTGTGCCCACGAAAGCTCATGTTACATCTACATGCTTTGTTAGTCTATAAATGCTACCAGACCATTAGTTGTTTTTTAAGTATACCAAGAGTTAGAGGGGGATGCAATCAAATATATGAATATAGACCAATATGTGTATAGACCTCCTAATGTTTTTGTTATATATTTTTCTATTTTGAGGGATATTACTCATTGAAATCCCTAATGTGTTCTTTTCTTCAATCTACTGTTGAAAGAATTATATGACGTTATTTGAAGAGCTTCTTTCACTACATTCAGGCATCCCACCACATTTTATGTTTCAGAATGAATTATCGTTATATTGTCCCTCATTTTGGAGTTTCTCTCACAAACAATATGCAACATTTGGGAGCTGGCAAGCTGAGAGGTATGAACACTAGTTACATTCAACCTATCTATGATAATTAGTTAATTATTTCTAGATGTGGGAGGGGCACGATCCCAAACAACCTTTTCACCTGCCTGGTGATTATGTCTCTTTTCTGTCTGGTTTTATGAAAAGTAATCCCATTCCAGGTACATCCCATTTTCCTGGCACAACCAAACCCTAACCTTGCTTTCAGTTATGATAGGAGGAAGCTGTATACCAAATTTGATTGTCTTAGCTCTGACCATTTAAGTGGAGTTCTTGAACAGACAGACACACAGACGGACAGATTCTCTCAAATATATAGTAGATTATAATGCCTCCAGCTGGTACTCCTTTAGTTAAAGGTCATAATTTGTTATGAGGTTTATAGCTTGATTTTTTAAATTTATTTTAAGTTTAAAGGGACATCATCAATTTACTCTGAAATTTTTACCTGTTCTTTCAAGAAACAGCTAAAATTAGAATATCTGAAAGAATATTTAATTTTTTTCCCAAAAAGATAGACATAAATTGTTTCACTTTAAAGTCTCACAAGAACACTTAATGGCCATTTATGTTTGCTCGACAGCAAGGAAATCTAAATTGGAGTATGGCTAAATCTTCCTCATTCAACCACACAAAATTCAGTGTCATATTTAAGCACTGTAGAACATTTGTTCAGCATAACTCGTGGCTCTTTTTAAAAGAAAAAAAATAAAGAAAAGACTAACTACTAACTTTTAGACTTCCAGGGTCCATAAATTTTCAAGAAATTAATGTTCCAATAGCAGCCTGTCTGACTAAATTAGAAAACTGGTGATACAGAGCCATAACCTTTGCTTAGCATTCTAAAGGCATGATTTAGATAGAATTATGATGTCATAAAGTTGGATTAACCTCTCACACTCTAGTGATGGCTTTAGAGGTTAAATTCTGTGTTAAACCACTAAAAAATTCTAACAGGCTCCTAAAAGAAAGCCAAAATAAATTGTTTTGCTTAATCCAGAACTCCTAGGACCATTACAATAAATCTAAATTGATTTGGACTGAATGTTTTCAAAGGAGCTCAAGGGAGTTAGGTGGCCATCTTCCAATGAATTCCAAAATTCTCTAATTTATCAAGTATTGATCGGAAAGTGTGCTCCCTCTTGTAGTTCTTTTTTAAGGGGTTGATACTACTGGGAGAGCTAGCAAAGATTGCCCTGTGATGAACAAGACACCCTGTAAATCTTATGGCTGTGTAGGGTTAGACAGTTGCCAGAGATGGTCCAGTTACATTGCTGCATCTGGGATTCTGCCAGACATCATCCTTCTGAATGTAGATCTAGTTTAGCAGAATGAGCTTTACAGATATTCTGGCTGAAAGCCTAAGAAAAAGAATGTAGTGTTGTTTAAATCATTTATTTTTGCAGAACCTGATGTCTGATGACGAAGCACATGAACTTTGATGGTAGAAATGGGAAATCATGGCTTCTAAGAATGCCCCAGGCTTCCTTACCCACTTGCCATCAATGTGCTGAGTTGAATTGTGGTGTTTTGCATGATGCTAATTCATCTGATGCAAATATAAATTGAACTTAAATATACTGCTAAATAAAATGTTTTCCCCACTCATTCCAGAGCCTCTTTGTATTCTTGTCATTTAAACTAACTTTGACTGCTATTCTGCTGGAATCCAGGCCTGTGCAAGGACTGTCAGTGGAGTGCAGTAATCTGTCATTGTTCTTATAATGATGATCTGCCACGGGGACCTAAATGAGCCAAATGCCAATGATAATGCCTGAGCCCCATGTCAAAGTGTGCTGTGGGACCCTTTGGCATTCAGTGAGATCCTATGCACTGTAGCCCCTTCAGGATAGCCCCTTCTATTCCCTATGCACTGCAGTCAAGAGTATCAATGACAATCACTTTGGGATTGACTGTTGTTAATGGCCCCACTGAACTATTTCTGATCATGCAATGTTATCTAGGGGGCATGTGTTGATGAATAGTGATGAAAACAACCATAGATTTCCCCTCTGCTCTTGATTCAGTGTCCTTTGACAATCTCTGATTTTCCTTAAAAAGGCTTTTAGGCTGGCATAAGTATAAGATGTCAGATTTTCATGTGCCCTTTCCATCTGGCTGGGTAGATTTAGAGACTAAGGTAATTTGGTTACAGCAGCACTCTTTCAAGCCACTGATTCCATTGTCATTTATTGAATATCTAGACAGGCCAAGCCCTGTTCCACTACCACACTTGTTTCTATTTATATATGTTATAATTTTTCCATATACAACACACTAACCAAAATACCAGATTCATCATAATATATAAATAAATAAGGAGAGGCTAAACAGAGGGCAGGGAAACATCAGATCTAGCTTCAGGTTCTGCATTAATCACAGACCTCTGAAAATCAGTCCAAGTTGCATTGAATTTTTCAGGTTACTATTACACTCTTAGGGTATGTCTACACTACCCCCCTAGTTCGAACTAGGGGGGTAATGTATGCATACCGAACTTGCTAATGAAGCCCGGGATTTGAATTTCCCGGGCTTCATTAGCATAAAGCCGGCTCCGCCATTTTTAAAAGCCGGCTAATGCGAACCCCGTGCCGCGCGGCTACACGCGGCATGGGCTAGATAGTTCGAACTACGTAGCCATTCCGATCTATCTGTACACCTCATTCCACGAGGCGTACAGATAGTTCGGAATAACTACGTAGTTCGAACTATCTAGCCCGTGCTGCGTGTAGCCGCGCGGCACGGGGGTTGCACTAGCCGGCTTTTAAAAATGGCGGAGCCGGCTTTATGCTAATGAAGCCCGGGATTTGAATTTCCCGGGCTTCATTAGCAAGTTCGGTATGCATACATTACCCCCCTAGTTCGAACTAGGGGGGTAGTATAGACATACCCTTAATGTGGGTGCCGAACTATTAAGAAATTTAAGTTGGAGTTTCAGTAGGGTCATCCTTACCCATATGCAGAATGTGCAGTTGCATAGGGCATCTGAAAGTTTGGGATGCTATTGGATCATAATGTCCACCCACACACCTCTCCTTATCCCTATTCCATGGCTCTGCTTCCTCTGGAGAGGATCTAGTTAAAAGTGTAAATGTCTGCCAGACCTGTGAGCAAAAGACTGAGCCTGTGAAAGAGCTACTCAAGTGGTAATGAAACCATTTAACAGGCATTTGCCAACATCAGGTATATACTGTCAGGGTATGTCTACACTTGCTCCCTATCTCGAGATAGGGATGCAAATGTAGTGTGCCAAAATTGCTAATGAAGCGCAGGATTTAAATATCCCATGCTTAATATGCATAATCGTGTCTGGACACCATTCTGAAATTGCATTATTGCGAAACAAAATGCCCCGTGTAGCAGTGTTATTTCGAGAGAAAACCCTTCTTTGGAAATAACTGTTACTCCTCATACAGTGAGCTTTAACAGTTATTTCGAGAGAAGGGTTTTCTCTCGAAATAATGCTGCAACACGGGACATTTTATTTCTCAAAAATGTGCTTTCAAAATGGCAGCTGGACACGATTATGCTAATTAAGCTCAGGATATTTAAATCCCATGCTTCATTAGCAATTTTGGTACACTACATTTGCATCCCTATCTTGAGATAGGGAGCAAGTGTAGACATACCCTCAGTGTCTGAATATATTGTGTATCCAGGATTTTAGTTTTAAATCTGCTTTAAAAATATGTCATTGGTGTTCTGCTTAAGATTATGAAATCACATCTCGAAAAAAATCAGTATCCCTTCCCTCCTCCTCCCAGGCTTCCATTGGACATAGGAGCAACAGTTTAATAGGAATGCATAGGACCCCATAAATTCTAAGGATCTACCTGAGTCTCAGAGAATTTATATCAGCTAGTGGTGCCTAAAATTTACTGGAAGTACTTTCATGCCTTATTAGGATTAGCCACTGCTTCCAAGCCAAATCCCACCTGCAAAAGTGAGTCATGGGTGGTGAAAAAGTAGGGGTATACTTTAACAAGGAGACATTCCTTCTCCACTTGGGATGGAGAACCTCAGAATCTTAATATCCTTGAAAAACTGCTGGTAAATCTAGCACCCAGTATTGTAGGCAATTTGTTGACTTATTGTCAAAGTAGTGAGTGGATGAAGCATTTTAAAAAGCACAACACCAGCTGTGCTCAGTAAATGGGGATTGTTTTCAATGAAAACTAGGCTTCTCTCTTTCCTCAATTCATATTGATGAATATAGTTCATATTGGTCTATAGGGGTGCACAGACACTGAGGGTATGTCTACACTAAAAAGTTAGTTCGAACTAATAGACGTTAGTTCGAACTAACTTTCATAGGCTCTACACTAGCAAACCGTTAGTTCGAATTTAATTCGAGCTAACGGAGCACTTAGTTCGAACTAGGTAATCCTCATTCCACGAGGATTAAGCCTCGTTCGAACTTACTACTTCGAATTAAGGGGTGTGTAGCCCTTTAATTCGAACTAGTGGGAGGCTCGCCCTCCCCAGGTTTCCCTGGTGGCCACTCTGGCCAACACCAGGGAAACTCTTCTGCCCCCCTCCCGGCCCCGGCCCCCTTAAAGGGGCACGGGCTGGCTACGGTGCGCGTGCCAGGTGCAAGCCTGCCAGCACCCAGCCAGCAGACCCTGCACCTGGCCCAGATCGAGCCACCCACCTGATGCCCCCCAC